CAATAAAGAATTGATTGATTAATTTTTAGATCGATCTATTAAATGAAAAGATGCAATATTGGTCAAATAAAAGTATTTGATAATATCTGAGAGGAAAACTTAACTTACCAGAAAATTAGGAAACTAGAAGAAAAATACTCAACAGAATAATCTTTTTATAAATCATTTAATTAACATTTTGGTTCTTAAGACGTTTCTTATGGTCTTTAAAGGGATATTTATAATGATTTTAGCTCTTATTTCCTTGATTAACTCTTTATTTTGATTAACAATTTTTGTTTTTGTAAAACTAAATATTGTGACTGTTTGATTGAGGAAAGATAAAACACGGATAACTAATTGTTAGTCCACAGAACTAAGGCTACGTTCACATTGCATTCCAATTTTTTTGTGAAATCCAATTTTAAATTTTTTTTTATATGCGACTTGAATGTGATCTCCTCTGTTTCAGATGAATGCGACCTGGCCGTTTAGACACAGGTCGCTTTTGAAAAGATCAGATTCGTATCGGAATCAGGAGCACATACCCGAGTGGTCTGGATCGCATTGGAAAAAATCAGATCTGAGTTGTTCAGACTGTCATGAAAAGACCCGATCCAGGTCGCAAATGGGCCAAAAAAATCAGATTTGGGTCACTTCAGGCTGCAGTGTGAACGTAGCCTAAGTCTCTCATGCCTGTGCTGATGAGGTGAGCACTTTTCTTCAGCACTAAAATCCTGACCTGTCTGCATGGCTTCTTGGTTCCACATGCTTCACAAAGACAGCAATCAATGCCTCTCAGCTCCTGCTGCTCGAAGAAAGAGTTCATGCAGTCTTCCTAAAAAAAAAAAAAAAGGCTCAGAGTCAGAGCAGGAGCCCGTTTTGTAGATAATTGAAATGAGCAAGAGATGAAATCCCACCAGAGAGTTTTGTTCCTCCTTTATGTGTAACGGCAGGCTGAGCAGGTGACTGTTTCGAGTCTGGATGGTGTTGCACTCCAAACACTGCAGGTGTGTCTCCACTGAGATCTTATAGAGACTCTGAATTTCAAGAGCCTAGAAGAGAGAACAAATTTAATCCAGTATGGAGGATGTACGTAATGATGAATAATATAAACAAATCCAAACCAGAGCTTTGTTATCCATGTGCCGCTGCATCAAATCCAGAATGGAGAGGAAAACCTCGTCTGCGTCGTGCTGCGTTTTCACTAAAAAAACAAGCTTTTTAAACGACATCAGAGTGAAACTTCTGCTGTGAGAAGATACGATTCTTACGTCGAATGTGGTTTCTGTCCAAGCAGTGGAGGAAACCTTCATGTGGAGCCGGCTGAGGAAGATCTTCCTGCATGGCTTTGAGAACTTTCTTCAGCTGGAGGGGGACATTATGACCATCTGGGCATCTCAAACCATCTGGGTTCCACCTTAAAGAAAAAAAAACATTTTAACTTTTAAAAATATAAAAAAATAACATTCAGAGATGATTTCTGACATGGCCTAAAGATTTTTACCCAGAGCAGCAAGACATGGGGGCGCTAGAGCCCCTCATTACATAAGTTATCACTTATATCACATTTTTATTTGAGCTTTATAGGTCATTTAATTGACTTACTTTTCTAAGATCTCTGCTAGTTCCCAGGTAGCATTGAGGGTCTGTAGCAGAGTGTTCACACAGCAGGACAGGCAGTAGTTGCTGAGGCCTCTCATTGCTGACAGAGAACAAAAACATACTTTCGTGTTTTAAAGATTTCCCAGTATTTCGTCCGAATGGAAATTTACTAAATAATCTACAATAATAAAAGTGTTTTCCCAACAAGATAGTTTCCTCATGTTTGAATTTCTTTTGTTTTTTGTCACAGTTAACAGTCGGACTAAAGAGTTTTTTAGCTGTACTTCCAAATATAGACTTGGACAAACTTTATGATCAATATATACAGCTTCACAACAGTGAAATGAACACCACCATTAATATGTAATGTTCAGCAGGGATCGGAATGTAAACGGTGTAGTTCCAAAAAAGCAACAAAATAAACTATCCGTTGGACTTTGTTTCCAAGTTTAAAGATGTTTCGCTTCCTATCCATTAATTTTTTTCAATTCAAAATGTCAGAATTAGCCCCTAATGACCCCTGTTAGAGTTATGATTATAAAATTATGCTACATTTATGTGCTGTGATTCAATCAAGAGGGTCGTAGACTTTTGTGACCTGCATCCTGTGATTCAATCATTAGGTCATGAGGCAAAGTCACATGGTTGCATCCTGCTGTGATTCAATCAAGAGGAGCATTTTGTCCTATGACCCAATCAATTGCCTTGTCAGAAGAACACTGTTCTGTAACCCAACCCATGTGTTATGATCTGCTAATAAAAGGCTTCTGCTGAGGAGACCGAGGGAGGGCAGATGTAGCTGAACGTGACTCTCTCCTCTTGCAGGAGCCAAAAAACCCTATTCTGTGTGGACTCAGTTTTTTTTTTTATCATGAACCTACAATTTTGAACGTAACAGCATAAGTCCTTAAAACTGTGAAA